AATCATAGAATAACTGTTATGCATTTATTACATTTCCCATTTTTTTATTCTCAATTTAGTAATTTATTTAAGTGCAATTAACTACTTTTAAATATTTATCAAAATATTTGATAAAAAAATATTTAAAAATTTAAATTAGTTTGTGCTGAGCTGTTGCAGCTCACTGTGGTTTTATTTCTAGTTTTCAGGATCTGGAAAGGGAAAAGAGATTGTGGACTAACAATTCAGGATCAGATCTAAGGTCATAAGTATTTTATTATTTAGATTTTTGTACAATCATGGCTAGTTTAATCTTCAGTTATAAAGCTCTTGCATGTAGTCATGTACTGTAGTGTAGCTATTTATTTTGATGAATGAAAAAAATTTTATGGATGAATTTTTAGTATTCAGATATTTTAGTGGCTCTGTAATCTGTCATTTATTTCAATGAATATCAGTAAAAAATCTAAAATAATTTCAAAAGTAGATCTTGGGTTATGTCTGTCATAACTCAACACAATAGAACCTGTCCTGATCAGTTTGAGTTGTGACAGTGATTGTCATCCTATTTCCCTCCACTACCCTGCCAAGTAATGTTGTTATTAATATTGGGGAGGTGGGTTTGGATAACTTTGGATAATTTAGATAGTAATGATAGAATTCATGTTTCTTATGTTCCTTATGTAGCATCGTGCAATGAAACTATCTATGTTGTGGATATTTTCAATTCTGTTAATGTTGGCATTGGGAATGCTGGGGAAAATTTGGACAATGCTACGTTGAATTCTGCTCATGTTAATAATGATGAGGTTGTCGTGCCTTTGAATAATGTTCCTATTGATGATGATGAGGTTGTTATGCCTTTAGCTAGTGGGGACTTGGATGTTGAGGTTGTTGATGTTTATGGAGGCTATTTTCCTCCTCTAATTATTTGAGCTGGGGATGTCATGTACTCTAATGATGAGGGTATGATTGTTGTACCTTTGGCTTGTGAAGTTTTGGAGGGTAATAACTATATTATTAACCTTATAGCTACCCCTATTTTTTCGTCTACTTTAGGTGATGAGATTGCTGGAGTTGTTGAGGCTACTTCTGGCTCTCTTGTGATGTTGTTGGAATTCCTTATTGATATTCTAGTTTCTCTCATTTCTAATTAGTCTGTGGAAGCCCAATTGGTGGGTAAGTTGGAAAATTATTGTTTGGAGCAAAACGATTGGCTTGATGATTTTGTCTCTTCACCCTGCGGCGGTGATGGGGATGAGTTGGAGGGGCCTGAGGATGTTGTTCAGGCAAGTTATAATTTGAATGTTAATCACATTATTGAAAAAGATTTTGCTTTGGGTGGTGGTAAACGTCATATGAGGAAGCAAAAAAAAAAAAAAAGTTTGGTCCTCCTCTGTTGATGTTTGATCATTTTATTATGTTCATTATTTTGGTGGTGTTTTTGGTTGTTGGTTGTGGAGTTATTGGTTGTCCTATTTTTTTAGTTAGGTTGGTGACATCCTCCTTCTCTAGCTTCTCTTTGTCATTGGCAAGTGGGTGTTGTTTGTTCCTTGGAAACTTCAGGTTTCTTCTCATTCTCCTGTTGTGTTCTTTGCATGCGTCTTCCTGGTCATTGTGTTTGTTCCTCGTTGGATTGATGTTAATTGGTTGGGAGTTTTACTTGGGAGGTTGTTGCTGTTCGACTCAATCAGCTGTTTCATCTTCTTGTGGAGCTTTGTTGGCTCGTTCACCTTATCTTTTTCCTTGTTTTCTTTTCTTGAGTTTTATTATAATTGATAAAATCGAAAGTTCATAGGTTTTACTTTAAATGTTGTATTTGTAGAGGGCTATTGATTCTCTAAGGACTTGTAACTCCCTTTTCATATTAACACATAGCCCCGTATGAGAGTTTTATCCAAAAAAAAAATTAACACAACGACGTATACATAGAGCATTTTTTATTGAAAATATAAAACATATGCATATATTTGACATAATATTATAATGTTATATTAAAAAAAACTAAAAAATAATTTGTAGTAGTTATAAAACTTAAATAAATATGAAATAAATGTATTTTAACAGATAATAAAATAAAATATATATTTATATTAAAAATCTCGTATTTAATTATAAAGGAAATAATCATATGATATTATAAATTGTTAGATTAAAGTTGAGAAAATTAGTTTTTGAATAACCACATAATTTTTTAAAATTAGCTTGTATTTGATTCCAAACCTTTTGAAAATCACCATATTTTGAAATCACAATTATCATGAAATCAAGATGTAAGATTAAATATTTTACATTTGTGTTGAAAATATCAAAATCAAATCCAATGAAGAATGATAATTGTCCTCCCAAGTGGGAAACACCTTTCACTATATGATCAAACAGTCTTAAAATTTATGAAAATTAAGAAGGCCACTAGTTTTAATGATTTTAAAGAGGGTGAGTGGACTGAGGTAGTTGAGGAGCAAGCTTAGTCGTCCGCTATAGAAGCGTGACTTGAGGGCCCTCGAGGTAGGAGATTTCACGTTAGGATTGCTGACTCGCAAGTCAGCTTGAACTCAACTTGCTAACGAGCTTGTGAGTCGAGCTTATCAAGTATCGAGTTCAAACAAATTTTTGAGCTCGTGGTATTTTCAACCTCAAGTTCAATCTAGATGAAACTCAGCTTGGCTAGAAATTGTGCGTAAATCGACCAACGTCCGTCTCCTATTCGAAAAGCATTTCAAACCGAACCACAACATTAGGTTTAGGTTTTTTTTCGCTTGCGAACTTGCTACTGTTGTAGATTTTCTAATGTGGGTCATATGCTCGATGAGGAACGAGGACGACGAGTTCTTCTGGCATTCGAAAATCTTATTTGAGCTCGAGCTAACGAACCGAGCACAAGCCAAAATGAAAATTTGAGTCAAGTTCGAGCTCGAGCACCAAGCTTGAGTTCGAGACACTTAAACAATAGGCGAGCTCGAGCTCGTTAGTACTCGAGCTCGACTCAATTTATTTGCACCCCTGGATGTACATGATGAAAGCATCACCCCTGAATGAGGACGAGTTGTTCATGATGAAAGCATCACCCCTGAATGAGGACGAGTTGTTGTGATGATTGCTTTATTTATGTGGGGCGAATAGCAAGTATACAAATGTGAAAATATCTCTGCATCAATTTTCATCAATGTTAAGAAGTAGATCTATAAGAGGAGAATCACATTTCTAAGTGTTACATTTGTGATATGGCTTGAAAATGACAAAAAAGTACTGCTACACCCTAAACAAATCCACAATCACTTAAACTCACTTCTATAAGCGGACCAATTACATTTGAATATGCTATATTTGTTTGAAAATAAATTTTATTGATCCATCTCATAAGCGCTTATGACTTGTCTGGGACGGCATTTTTATTGCTTCTTAAACATCCGATACTTTTTTATTGCTTCTTAAACAGAGTTTTAGTTAAAAAAATTTTAATTTTTGTAATAAAGCTCTGTTTTAAGAAGCAAGAAGAAATCGGGAAAATTTTTAAATTAAGTACAATTACAAATTTAATTATATGATTAAGTATTGTAAAAAAACAATTTAAAATTAGACAATGTCGCCCATTTAACGGGCGACTTAATGCTAACTCAGCGATGCGCTTGCTAGGTCATCTGGTTGATATTATAGCAAGTCTGCCGGCAAGCTCATTGTTGAGTCAGCACTAAGTCGTCCGTTTAACGGACAACTTTGCCTAGTTTTAAAATTTTTTTGCGATACTTAATCACATAATTAAATTTTTAATCATACTTTAAAAATTTTCCCGAAGAAACCCCCAAATGAGGCCTATATGTGATAAATTTTGCAAAAAAAAAAAATTGGGAGTATAATTTTCCTCACAACCAAGCTGTTTTGCATAATTTGGATTTGGTAGCTTAATGTTTGATACAATTTTTATGACAATAAAACTCTGGCAATAAAAAATGCTAATTATTTGAATTAGAGTAAGGCTAAACCATAATTTGAATCCCCTTTTTATAATGAACCAATCAAGTGTCAGAGTCTCATCCTTCTTTATTTGAAAAGAATTTTTATTCTTTTACTTCATCAAATGCTTAGGTGATATGTAAGTGCATTAAAAAAGACAAAAAAAAAAAAAAAAACCTTTACAAATCACAAAAAATCCATCTTACTTATAAAACTATGCCATGTAAAAAACAAAAAAAAAAGCTTATGGATTGAATTTTTATAGTAAATTTTAATATTTGGGAGAAATTTTGAAGAGTAGAAAGAGGAAAATTTTGAGGAATAAATGTGACATTGCCCAAAAAAAAGTTTTTGCAAAATAAGCAATCACTATCAATTCTTAATTTATTTATAGAGAAAGCCATTCAGAATAAAAGATTTCCTCAAAACTATGAATTTCAAGTACATACATTGTAGCAATGGATCAAACAAAGCCACAAAACACATCAACCACTCTATTTCTTTATGCCAAAAAATCATTTCCCTTGTACCCATTAGTATTTTATGAAAAGCTCAAGTTACTATCAAATAGATAGAGAGTCAGTATCATACAGAGGGAAAGAGCATCAGGTCCTTCTCTTGATGTTAAGAAAGGAAAAGCTTTTCCACCAAGCTCCAAAGATGAGGAACCCCAATCACAATATCTAATAGTGATCCAAAGCCAACATCAACTGAATAAGAGGCTCCATCTGTCACACAAAGTTTGTGGCAAAAGTAAGTGTTTGGAACTTTGGTCTCAAAATGATGGGGATGAATTATTTTATGCGGACACCAAACGCCGTCCAGAGCCTAATGAGAATGCGTCACGTCACCCCCTACTTGGTACCGCAGCTCGGTACTGGATGATGTGGCTGTACCTGATTCGCCTGTGGACGGTAAGCTGTGTCCAGTGTCTGCACAGAACAATCTCTCCAAAATAGGACCCCTAAGAAAATAAGGAGAAAGATGAAAATAATGAGAAGGTATGTGACACTTGCTCCTAAAGCTTCAATCTTTTGTTTTAGATCATTTGCAATACCTAACACTGACAGTCTACTTGTCTTCCAAGCAATACCCACAATCCAAAGCCTCAACTTCCACCACTTAGTCATTCACATCCCTGCCAGCTTCCTCTTTAAATAGTTCATTTTTAAGTGCTTATCTTCCTAAATGCCTTAGCAGACAAGTTCATTCTAAATGGCTTCAACAACCATCAGCTCTGCCTTGCCTGAATGCTCCTGCTCTTATCTGCTAGAAGAACTGAAGGTACGAAGAATCCTTGGCTTAGCAAATGTGTTTTGATTCTCCTTGTAAAGATTTTTTTTAGTCTCAAAAACTGATGATTGAGTTGAGCAGCTGATATGGAATGAGGTGGGACAAGATCAGGAGGAAAGGGAAAGGATTCTCCAAGAACTGGAACAGGAATGCCTGGAAGTCTACAAGAGGAAAGTTGATAGAGCTAACATTTCTAGAGTGCGTCTCCATCAAGCATTGGCTGATTCAGAAGCTGAGTTTACCAATCTTCTCATTTCGCTCGGCGAGCGATCATTCCCCGGACGGGTGAGATACTATAGATTAATAAGTTGCCCAATTTGTTTTAGGGGCTGTATGGCAACGGAATTCATGCAGGATTTAGAAATCCTGCCAAAAGGGATTTGAGAATCCCGTAAATTTCACGGCGACATAAATCCATTGTTACCGATTGTTTACGTAAATACCAGATTTAGTAAATCCCGGGTTCGGCGGATTTACGGGATTTGACCGAAGAAGCGCGCGAAAGGGAGAAAGATGGTCACCTTCGCTGCGAGCGAGCTCCCGTCGTCTTCGAAGGAGGCGAAGAACGTCTTCGAAGGCGGCGAAGGAACAAAGCCGTCGACCTGTCGTGATTTCCGATCGACAGGAAGAACGTCGTCGTGACTTCCGATCGACGTCGGCGAGGCAGGCAAAGTCGATCATAAAAAAAAAAAAAAAAAAAAAAAAAAGGCAAGGCCGAATTAATAGAAACGTTTGTTTGCTTAATTAAAAATTAATAAAGTTACTGTTTATTCTTAATTAAAAATTAATCTTTACTTAATTGATATAATTCGAAATACAACTAAAATTAACAAGTAATTCAAATTTAAAATTTTATTAAATAATTAGTCATTAAAATTTAACAACCAATCACATGAAGCCGATACAAATCCTAATATTAATCTATCTAATTTAATTTATATTATAATTAAATAATTAATTAATAATTCAATATTTAAGTGAGTAATTAGATAATTAATAATTAAACTAAGTAAATAAAACTTAAATAATTATAATTATAACAATTAATTATGATTAAAATTAAAATTAATAAATAACTAATATTTAACACCCAAATTGAACCGGAGGAATACATAGGGCTTTGTTGTGTGATAGAAAAGTTCCCCTCAAACTTAAAGAAAAATTCTATAAGATGATCAATACTTTATGATGCGGAATGTTGGTCATTAAAAGAGAAGCATAATACTAAGTTAAGCGTTGCAGAAATGAGGATGCTCAGGTGGATGAGTGGATTTATCCTTAGAGATAGGATACGAAATTAGCATATACATGAAAATGTTGGAGTAGCTCCAATGGAAGATAAGATTAGAGAGAGTCATCTTAGATGGTTTGATCACATAAAACGACAGTCTTCCGATGAATTGGTCGGGAAAATAGAGGTATTACATTTGACTTATATTAAGAAAGATAAAGATAAACCTAAAAAAACTTTGTTATAAAATATTAGAAATGATCTTTCTTTATTAGATTTAAACCAGAATTTGACTTTTAACATGACACTAGAAAAAAAAGATTCATATAGCCAACCCCACGTAGTGGGACAAAGATTTAATGTGGTTATTGTTGTTCTAAAAAGTTAACCATCTTAATTTAAAAAAAAAAAAAAATATCATCTTAAATTCAATTTCACATAATTTAATAGTTATCTTCTCAAATAATTTTGAGGATTTAATGCATCCAGAATTTACTAAATTCAAAAATACAAGATTGACTAATTCCTAGATCCTTCTTGTTGCCAAGCAGCCCCTCAGTAAAATGCATGTAAACGAAGAACTAATCCATTATGTTCTACATAGCCGGAAAAGCTGACAGGGACGCTTAAGGAACAACTGAACTTGATCGCTCCTGCCCTAAGGGAGATGCAGCTAAAGAAGGAAGAGAGGGTAAGCCAGTTCAAGCAAGTGCAAGCCGAAATACGGAAGATCAAGTCAGACATTGCAGGTTGCTCGGAGGAATGCCAGAATGTTACGGTGAACGAAAGCGACCTTTCGCTGAAGAAGCTGGAAGAGTATCATAGTGAGCTTCAGAGACTTGAACGGGAAAAGGTACTGCAATAATTAAACTATGATTGGATTTAGGGTTTCGGCGTTACTTATTTTTCTAATTTGGCTTTACTCTTTAATGCTTTGTGGCTTGGTTTGGAAGAGCGAAAGGCTAGTAAGGGTGCAGAAGTATTTGCGAGAAGTTCGTGAACTTGCTGCGACAATGGGTATGGAATATAGCAAAATCATTACTGACGTACATCACAGCTTGGATGACTCGAGTGATAAAAGTTCGATGAACATTAGTGATGCCATCCTGGAGAGGCTTGATTATACTGTTAATCTGCTTAAAGAAGAGAAGAAGAAAAGGATGGAGAAGGTAAGGAGTTCTTTCCTGTTTCAAACTGTTTTGATTATGTACATCTTTTCTGTTTTGCTTGATTGAATGGTGAAACTGCAAGGAAACCGGTTCGATGAAAGTTTTTGCTCATTTGTAACTACTTGAATCTGCAGCATATCCACTAAAAATATTAATGTTTAGTCTTCTTAATGGATAGAATCAGGAGGGGGTTCTTGAGCTAAGGTAGTATGTGGAGTTTAAAATGCACACAATAGATTGATTTGATTGAAGGCAGAATTGCTTGATACGTTTTTGATTGAAATCAAATTTACGAGTTACCAATTGGATTTGTAAAATTTGTATAACCTAATAGAGGTAAGGAAAACTTTGGTTTAAAACCTAGCAAACAAAAGGAGGTGAATTACTTAGCTAGATATGATTAGATTTTACCAAATACTCAAGAGATAGTGATGGTCATTTAGCTCTTGTAGAGTTCCTCCCCAGGATGGCTTTTTCCTCCTTGATCGGCCTTCGCTTCTCCTTTCCTCCTTCAGCATCTCAATTTGATAGGAATAGAGTGAGAGAACGAGAGAGATGGCTCTCTCTTAGTTTTGAGAGTGAAGGAAGCGGGCCTCCTCTGAAGTAAAGGGAGATGAAGAGAGAGAGAGAAAGAGACGGTTTGACTCATTCAAATTTGTTCCTCCTTGCCGTTGTCCAAACCTATCTTTTACAAATTAATGGTAAAGTTGTAATCAAGTCATTTACATATAACTTCTTACATCCTGGTTTGACTCATTCAGATTTGTTCCTACTTGCATTGGTCCAAACCTATCTTATATAAATTATGGTAAAGTTGTAATCAAGCCATTTACATATAACTTCTTACATCCCTCCATGTCTTAATGTGTTTCAAATGTTCCAAATGCTTGTCTAAAATTTGAATTATGCTAGAATAAATATAGGAACCTCCTACATTGTCACGACCTGGCTCGGATGCTCGACATAATGAGGCGGAAACAAAAGTTGGACGGTAGGATCAAATCATTTAATTCATAAGTAATACAACATAAAACATCATATTTTCTTCCACAATTTATCTGAAGAGTCACTAACAAAATTTCTCAAATACTTAACATTTGTAAAGATCATAAATTACATGTTTTCAGTATTGCATCGTCTTTTATAAACAAATTCTTCCCTTTTTTGCCATTTCTAAATCTCTGAAAACTTACCTGAAACATTTATTTAATGGAATGAGTTTACAAAGCAAACTCATTGGATAACTGTTAAAACAGTCAACATGAAATAAATAAAAAAATATATACAATACACATATAATCTTTAATATACATCTTATACTTTTTTCTTTCTTATCTTTATTTCATTCATTTCAGTCATTTATACATATCCGGTCATATTCCTTTATAACATTTATAAATCTTTAATATTTATTCATTTTCTTATTTAATTTGTACATGAGCACCGTCTAAATGTCCCAAAAGTACAATCATTTTCATTTTCTTTTCCATATTTTTTTCATTTTTCGTGCACGGGTACGTTGCTTTCCAAGCCAGTACCATACGGGGGAGAACTCCTGTAAGTTTGCATTCATAACATTTTCCCTTTTTTTACATTTATTTTATTCATTTTTATATGTTCATTTTCGATTCATTTTCATATACCATTTATTCGCATGCATACTTTCTTAAAACATACATGTATCATATATGTTTATACATTCTTTTCACATATACACACAATTTCATTTATGTCATTTCATTCATTTATTTTCCATTGTAATAATATCTATATTCTTTTATCCATTTAAACTTACATCGTTTTACACATGATGGTTTCCAAAAAGGAGTAAAACCTTTAAGCATGATATGAAATATTATGTAATGTTGAAAGAAAATATAAAATATTAAAATTTCATAACTATAATTATAATTACACACTTTAATCCTTCAAATCGTCCTTGTCACAACCTCAGCTTCAATTATATTTCTTGTTAAATCCTACAACTTGATTTCTTTTCTTCTAAAATTTCTAAAATTAAACAATATAATTTTTATAAAATAAATATACTTTTAAAATAAATATAAAAAAATTCATATGAAAGTTTACTTATAACGAGGGGATTTTCCAAATTCCAAAATCTTCATCTTTCCTTCTCAAATCTCTTCTCCTCACTTTCAATTATCTATCTTATCTTCAATTAAATGTTTCTACTAATTAGAGAAATAATTAGGAAATAATTTATACAAAATTGAAAAAAATAAAGGCGAGGCGTAATGTTTAAAATTGCGTAATCGTGTATTGAGGCGTTTTTCGTTCGTGAGGCTAGGCGTAAGCCTCAAGGCGTTTTTAGGCGTAAGCCTCAAAATCAAAAAATTGCGAAAATATAAAATGATATATTTTGTATATACTTATGAGTAAATAATATATAAAATATAAAATGTACATAATATGAAGTGAAATCAAAATATCCCAATAATAAGACAATATGAAATATAGTCTAGCTCAAACTCCATCTATCCCAAATCACAATATTTTTTTCATTAACATATAATTCCAAAAATAAATAGCAATGACATATCACATAAGAACTAATAAGTTGTCAGTATTGTCATCACTAAGGGGGTCTTCATTTGAATCATCATTATGATGAACTGCTCTCTCCCCTTCCTCCTCTCCTATAAAGTCCAATGTCTCCCAATCAAGTCCTGCTTCCTCAATATCAGTTATCTTATGTTTCCCTAAATATTTTTGAACAATCTTAAAATAAATAATAGTGTAATACATTAATAAAAGTATAATAAAATTATATTATTTATATATATATATTTTTTAATTTATTCTTGAGTTGTGGTGGATGTAGATGTTTTATGACCATTAAAGAAATCAACATTTAAATCTTCATCTTGTAATTCAGACGACATCACTGCAACTTTATCATCTACAAATCACTCATCAACAGATGTCACATCCTTGCAAAGCAAATGATATTCATCATTCATTAATCATTTTTTCTTCAAATTCCTATCTCTGTGTCTCCTATTGTACATAATGTACAACAGTGAATTCATCCTCAATGTGGACAAGCGATTTCTCCTCTTTGTTTGTATTTGGTTGTAGGTACTCCAATTTCTTTCACAGCTAAATGAAAAGCATATCAAGTCCAAAACTTTCACAGTAAAACGCTACAATTTCGGGAGTCTCATCGCCAAATTGAACCCAGCACTCAATTAATATTTATATAAGAGAGTTTAATTAGTGCAAAAAAATAACTTTTAAATAAATGTTTAAAACATTAAATAAAATTACCTGGAGATCGTTTGACAATTATATCCTTTACTTGTTGTAATCCAAAAAATTCTTCTTTGTTCCTAAAAGGTATCAATTGCATGTCAGCATTTGATCTTTCAGTTGCATCACTTATTAGCCAATCCATACAATGATACAATCCCAACTTTATTTCAGGGTTTATAGACTTGTTCTCTGCATATTGATACTGAGGGTTTAGATAATAATCAGCTGCATGCAAGTGTCGGTGAAGTTGTAGCTCCCACCTATCATTAATAATATTTCAAATTTTCTTAAAGCTACCATCTTCGCCTCCTAAGTTGGAGGCAATCATTTCTTTGGCTTCGTCCATGACATTGTAGATGAAACTCATTGTAAGCTTCTTCTCAGTCATGGTTTAAAATTGCGCAATATGAGGCTCGCCTTTGCGCAATTCCAGTAAAAAACACCTCGATGCTTACGCCTCGAGTTTTTTTTATGAGGCTTGTGCCTCAACTTGGTTGAGGCCCGCCTCGCCTCACTGGCACGAGGCTTACGCCTCACGCTATATTTATTAAAATTTACATAAATCTTGAAGTAAATGCCCGACATTGGACTCTATAGGAGGAGGAAGGGGAGAGAGCAGTTCATCATAATGATGATTCAAATGAAGAACCCCTTAGTGATGACAGTGTTGATAACTTATGAGTTCTTATGTGAATTGTCATTGCTATTTATTTCTGGAAATTGGAATTATATGTTAATGAAAAGAATACTGGGATTTAGGAAAGATAGAATTTTGAGTTGAAATATATTTCATGTTGTCTTATTATTGAGATATTTTGATTTCAATTCATATCTTATGCTTTTTTATGTTTTATATTATTCACTCGTTAGTATATAAAAAATTTATCATTTTATGTTTATACAATCTTTTGATTTTGAGGCTTACGCCTTGAGGCATACGCCTCGCCTCACGAATGAAAAATGCCTTATTACCCGAATACGCAATTTTAAACATTGTTTTCAGCATCCTCCATCCTTAAAACTTGAACCAAAGATTTAGTAGTTGTAATAACATATAAGATACTATGTCAAAATCTATCATTTAAAATAATCTTTTTAATCTCTTTTCCCTCAGCCTTTTTCGCCCAACCACAACTCAGCCACTGTGTAGATGTGAACATAGCCTCTAAAGGTTGTCTAACGTCCAGCATGCTCTCTAGGGTTAAGTAAGCGGTGGCGAATCTCGTTGCTGCTGGCCTTAGAATTTCTTTCTTTGAAAATTTTCTCATAAGAGCTAGAACCCAATAATGGTTGTAAATAAACTTGATTTTTTTTTTTTTTTTGCTTTAGTAAGTGCATTCTTATATTAAGGTAGCTCCACAAACTTCTCAAGAATTAGATCTATGTAATGTGCAGCATATGGAGTCCAGTACAGAAGTTTCATCTTCTCCATAAGTTTGTTACCTGCAGCCTTGTAAGCACTTGTATTATCTGTCACAACTTGTACAACCAAATGTTCTCCAACCTCCTCAATAATACTATCTAATAATCTAAATAAGAACTCACCATCTTTGACTAGGTCAGATGCTTCAACTGATCTTAAAAACACAGTATCATTAGGATTATTAATGAGAATGCTGATCAGACTTCTATGTTTGATATCAAACCACCCATCTGATATAATTGTTACTTCTATTTGAGCCCAAGTCAGCTTAGTTTCTTCGATGCTTTTATCAGTGCTTTCCAATTCTTTCAGAATCCATGTTCTCAAACCATACATGGTTGGAGGTTTGAACCCTCTCCTAAATGCTCCAACTGAACGAATCATGTTGTAATAGGCATGTGATGTTGCAACATTAAATGAAATTGCATTTTCGTAAAATAATATGTCTATATCCTTGCACACTCTTCTCTATGCCTCCCTTGTATTTTCTGGGGCCATCTTATGTGTTGTAGGAGGCATATCATCTGATGTGTTTACCATATAATGATTCATAGGCCCTCTAGCATCCTAAGATGAAATGGGCTTCATCGAAGAAGATGAATCCCTAATGCTATGCTCACTACCGTAGTAAGAGTCAACATCAACTCTATCCTCAAATTACTTCTGTGCAAGATGTTTTGACGTGATAGACTTATTCATGTATGACTTTATCTCTTCCCTTACAGTATTAGGAACTTTGGAGCATTGAACAACATTCTTGTGAGACCATGAAATGTGATCCTTCATCCTAGTCGCACCACCCTTCAGAACTTTATTATAGTAATTGTATTTTAGATATATGTTTTATCACTTCCCCCCATTGTTTAAAATTGCGTATTAAGGTATTGAGGCATTTTTCATTCGTGAGGCGAGGCGTAAGCCTCAAGGCGTTTTGAGGCGTAAGCCTCAAAAATCAAAAGATTGCGTAAACATAAAATGATAAACTTTTTATATACTAATGAGTGAATAATATAAAACATAAAAAAACATAAGATATTAAGTGAAATCAAAATATCCCAATAATAAGACAACATGAAATATAGTTCAATTCAAAATTTTATCTTTCCCAAATCCCAATATTCTTTTAATTAACATATAATTCAAATTTCCAAAAATAAATAGCAATGACATATCACATAAGAACTCATAAGTCATCAACACTGTCATCACTAAGGGGTTCTTCATTTGAATCATCATTATGATGAACTGCTCTCTCCCCTTCCTCCTCTCCTATAGAGTCTAATGTCGGGCATTTACTTCAAGATTTATCTAAGTTTTAATATATATAGCGTGAGGCGTAAGCCTCTTGCCAGTGAGGCGAGGCGGGCCTCAACCAAGTTGAGGCGCAAGCCTCATAAAAAAACTTGAGGCATAAGCATCGAGGCATTTTTTACTGGAATTGCGCAAAGGCGGGCCTCAAGGCGAGCCTCATATTGCGCAATTTTAAACCATGCTTCCCCCTACATCTACCTGAGTGTTATGTTTCCAAGCTGGATCTTTTTTATAATCGATGCAGCTTTATCCTTACTTCTGATCATCCTTTATGAGAAGAATATATTAGTGTAATATATCGGAATCCCTAAACATAATGCTTAACTTGTTCTACATTAAGAAAACTTATACAAAGCATGCACTCATAAAAAAGTAGACTAACACTAACAACTATTACAATAATATACCGGTCTGCTGGTGGTCCAAGGGAGCGTTGCCCCCTGGTGGGATTCGACCTGTGGGGGTTTCCGGGGGCAGCGTCTCCCGAACAAATTTTTATTGTAAGAGTAATTTTGAAGTTTTGCTTGTTTTTAAAGTTCGTAAGTTATTTGTATGGAAAGATATTGAGCATGTACCTAACGGTACTGAGCATGTACTGAGCGGTACTGAGCATATACCTGCTTGGTATCGAGTGATATCGAGCAGTACCGAGCATGCACCTGATCGGTACCGAGCATGTACCTAGTGGTACCAAACATTGTCATACCGAGTGGTACCGAGTATGTACTTGACGATACCAAGTGATACCAAGCGGTACTGAGCAGACAGACCGATGGATGGAACCACAAAGAAGAAGAAGAAGAAGAGCTTTCAACGGTTGGTCGAAGGAGACTCCAACCCAACTCGCGGTAGAAGATAATTCCAAGCAATATGCGAAGAGTAACTCACCGTGGAAGAAAGCCGACGCTGAACTAAGAGGGAAAAAGGTCACTCGAAGAAGAAGTGATAAAACCTATTTTCGAGAATGACGGAAGACCGCGCGAGGGTTGGGGGTCCTAACCGAACAAATATATATTATGTTAGCTTTTTTTTTTAATTTTTATAGGCGGACGCCTCTAAACCGTGAGGCGAGGCGTGCCTTGAGGCGTATACCTCAAATCCTGGACTCATTGCGTGGGCTTTGAGGTTTAAAGGGACGAAATTACACTTAGACGTGCCTCTTATTATGCAATTTTAAACCATGATTTTTCCTCTTTCCCTTATCGTTCCTCTCATTCATTGAAATTTCTTCCAAATTTATCCCTCCTTTAGCGATAAAAATGAAGATGAATTGTTAATTCTTTTCCTTAAAGACAATCATTTGCTAAAATTGGAAAAACAAAACTCACCTCACACTCTCACATGAAATCGCCCGTCCACCCCTTCTTTGTTCGCGAACGCCTCTCTATTCTGTGAAATGCTTCGTCCGGCCTTTTAACAGATCTGGTATTCGAGTCGACCAGACCGAATTGGTTATTACATACATCATGGCGTTCACTTTTGAGATTCACTTGTACCAGCAACTCACCTCACACTCTCACATGAAATCGCCCGTCCACCCCTTCTTTGTTCGCGAACGCCTCTCTATTCTGTGAAAGGCTTCGTCCGGCCTTTTAACAGATCTGGTATTCGAATCGACCAGACCGAATTGGTTATTACATACATCATGGCGTTCACTTTTGAGATTCACTTGTACCAGCAAATAGTTTGAGTTATACCTTTGTTTTGTCACCTTGGCATAGTTAAGATATGTAACGATGCATCCTTCTTTGGTCTATTTAAATTAACAAGAAACTAGTCTCTTCTGCTCTTACCTAAGCTAATAAGAGTGTGCATGGTTCAACTTCTTCTTATGGCTATCCCTAGGTTTCTGTTGGACCGGGTTTACCGGTCCCGCCTGGACCCGTGCGGGTCTACAGGCGGAAGAGGGGGGCGGGCATCCTGCTGGACCAAGAGGGACCCCCCACTTAAGTGGGGGTATTTTGGGGATGGGAGGGGATTTTTTGAAAGGGTATGAAGGGAGCCATTAGGGTTTAGTTTTGGGTATTATGAAAAGTGTATTCTCTTTCTAGTTTTCTTCCTCTAGTCTTCTCTTGTGCTTTTCTAGGGTTTTCTTGTGGGAGATCTTGTCCTTCTCGAAGTGGACAAACTTATCTTGTTTTTCTCTTGGCTTGCTAATGCAAAGGTTCTCATTTTTCTTCTCTACCCTTTTGTGATTGTTTTCTCATTTGGTTTTGGTCGACAAGTTTTATGTTGGCTTTGCTAGATAATTGAAGAGTTGTTTCTTCCTCTTGAATTGAAGAAACATGTATCTTGTATTGTTTTTCTTGTTCGTGGATTGAATAGAAGAAGTTGTCCTTGTGTTTCTCTCCAATAACCTGAAATTCCTGCATATTTCTTGCTGTTTTTATCGATTATTACTCTCAAGTATTTCCCTTTGGGTTACTTGCGAACTCAAGTATTTCCTATCAGTTTGATCCAACAATTTCAGCCTAACATAAACAACATGCTATATATCTACAGCTTGGCAGGCTCGGGAAAGCACTTATAAACTTGTGGAACCTAATGGATGCGCCACTCGAAGATCGCCAGCCATACATCAAGATAGTGATCACACCACCATCAGCCTCAGCTGGTGATGCTTTCCCAGGAAGCCTCACAGTCGACATAATTGGTAAGGTAAGTGATCTCAGATGTTAAGTATGCAAGCTTAGAGTAATATCTGTTAAGTCTGTAAACCTCCCTGATCTCCAGTTACCACAAATTTAACTTTTATTATCTTTTCCATTTTTTTTAATTTTAAACATGGTAGGTTGAGTCTGAGGTTGCAAGATTAGATCAGTTAAAAGCAAGCAAAATGAAGGAGCTCTTCATCAATAAACAGATAGAATTTGAGGGCATATGCAAGAAGTCTCACATGGAGTTACCTCCACAGTCAAAGATGGAAAACATCATGAATCTCATCATGCAAGGTATGCAATTTTTGTGTAAACCAAGTTTCTTTCTTTTTGATCAGTACACCTAAAATGTCTTGAAGGAGAGATGGAGCATGGTGATCTCCTAACGAGAATGGAAGAATACATTTCCAAGGCAAAAGAAGAGGCATGGAGCAGGAAGGATATAATGGAGAAGGTTGAAAAATGGATGGCATCATGCAGGGAAGAATGTTGGCTGGAAGAGTTTAGCAGGGTGACTCACCATGACAAATATTATAGTTCAATTAGGGGTGCAAACGAGTCGAGTCGAGTCGAGCCGAGTTTAGACCCTTATCGAGCTCGGCTCTTTAGTTGGAAAGCGAGCTCGAACTCGAGCTCGTCTCACTGTAAACGAGCTCGAGCTAGCTCGCGAACCATGGGCAGGAATTTTTAAATTTAGGCCGGATTTTTTAAAAATTAGATGGGATTTTAAAAAATTAAGCGAGATTTTTAAAACTTAATTAAAATTTAGAAAAAAAAATATGAAATGTTTAACATTTAAATAAAACTTAGGTGATTTTTTTATAATTTTTTTAATATTTAAATTTACTAAATAAAAAAATTATTTTAAAATATTAATTTTTATTCGAGACAGCTCGTGAGCTCACGAACCGAGCCGGCTCAAGCTCGAGCTCGACTCGTGAGCTCGATAAGCTCGGCTCGCGAGCCCATAAACGAGTCGACCTCGAGCCGACTCGGCTCACTTACACCCCTAAGTTCAATTAATTAAGCACATTACATGTTTTCTTTTAACCATAGAATTCGAGACATTTCATCCACTGGCATTTATAGGATGAAAACCGGTATTCAGTTAGCAGAGGTGCTCACAAGAACCTCAAACGTGCAGAACGGGCTAGAATTACAGTGAACCGAATTCCAGGTAAGCAATTTTGACTGCATGGGAAACTACAGTGACTATATTACCATGAAAGTTTTGTTGCAGGATTAATTGAAATAATAATGGCAAAGACTAAAATTTGGGAAGCGGAAAGGAAGAAGAGTTTCCTGTATGATGAGGTTAGATATATAGTGTACTCTTTAATTTATCCTTACATTCTAAACACTCATTATGATATTTATAGCATGCAATACTGACACAAAGACAGTTGCCCAAAGCTGGAAAGAGCAAAAGTTTTAATGAAATATCTTTGGAATTTTTTCAGAATAGATTAATGATGTATAATAGATTCAGTTGCATTTTCAGTAAAGAAAGTCTTTGATATTTTCATAGCAAAGAAAAAATTACTGATATAGAACTAATACATGCATTCATTCACAAAACTAAAGATTTGCATTTCTCTTTTAAAATCATTGCATGTAGTGAATGTCAAAAGATACGTCAATGTACTGAAATTATTTTATAATCATAAGATTTACTTGGTACTGAAATAATTCTCTTATAGCTCATACTTGGTTTGTAATAAACTCATTAAATTGCATGTTTTACTAATAAAAAATTCTTTTGTTATTTCTAGCTCAAACCTGAACTAAAAACTGTTATGGTCTTTAATATTTCATATGGAAGAACTACAAGGAAAACAGAGAAATAAGGCAACAAAATTTACTAGTCAAACAAATATCACAATACAATATAGATGACGCTATGAGTGTTACAAGTCAAGCCTAATCTATAGTTCTAAATGGATACATCTTCTTTAATCAAATGTTCACTTGTAGCCTTTTGGGTTTGAAAAGGCCATTTCAGTACTTAATTGTTAACAATACATCAACATTAGCATTAATCATTAGACATGATTTTGTTAATATCAGCATTGCATTTTCTTCAAAAAATGTCAGAAAAAAAGAGATTATATAACCTTCAACCTGTGCTAGGAAATTATTGAACCAAAACCTTGCATCTGTCATCTGTATTGATGTGTGTTTGTCGTGTCAAGATGTGTACCATTCTAATTTTGGAGAAAACAAGTCATACAAGAACTCAGCAAATCAAACAAGTGTCGATATGTGTTTGTTTCCAACACATATCTAACAATGTACAAAAGGCTTTGAGACATGTTTGTACTTCATTGTATATGCTTAGGTTCATATCCATATGTGCGTGCATGAGTGATTTTATGTATTCAACTGGTTGGCTATGGCACTCAATATGTAAATTTGCAATGTGTGTGCGAACTAGAGCAATTTTCATAGACACATAGAAGCATTCATGATGTATCTATTAATTGTTAAGCTAAGGCACGAAATTTGAACTTTAATGTGTTTCATATATTGTACATATGTTTATAACAAAAGGGAAGCATTCAATAGATTGCAATTTTTTGTACTCTAGCTAAAGGAAGCAGCAGCAGCAAATTAAGGATTGATGTCATGAGCTACAAAAATTTTTAGGCTTAATTTATAACATAATCCTTCACAAGTTGATAATTCAATGATTTTGATTGAACAGGTTCCTCTGATGGCAATGCTGGAGGAGTACACATTGCTCAGGCGGGAAAAGGAGGAAGAGATACAAAGACAGAGGGTAAATTCTAATCAAATTGCTTAAAAAATAAAAACTTGGGCTCAAAAAAAAAACAATATAAGTGGAAAAATTGGCTATTTCCCAAATTTCCCACAAAGCTATCTAGAAAGAACTATTAGCACAGGTATTGGTGATGAAGCCCATCTGCATTAAGCTCAAACTTTCAAGTCCTCCAAACCTGTGCAAGTAGGTCTAATTAGAATTTTTGGGACGGCTTTTTTACTGTTTCTTGAAGCAGTTTTTTAGTATAAAAATAAAAAATTTTGTACTAAAAAGCTGCTTCAAGAAACAGTAAAAAAGCCGTCGCAACCGAAGCCTAAAGCCAATGCAAATAGATAATTGCAAATAAGTTATGTTCTTCAGGAAAGAAAGCGGGTTCAAGCTTTGGGAGAGAAGGATGATCTTTTCAGGCCAAGACCAGGCACAAGTACCTACCGCATACCAAACAGAAGCTTAAATAGCAGCTTTAGCAGTGCTTCCTCTTTAATTAGAAAGGTAGTTAGCCAAAATCAGCAAGGATCGAACAATCCAATAGCACAGATGACAAGGGGAAGAAAAGAAGGAAAGATGACAGAAACACGCGAGAAGATGAAAAATCACAGACATGCTATCAAAACCGATACAGCTTCAGTAATCTCAACAACCTTTTCAGGTCCATCATCTCCCTAATCAATAGCATCTTATAGATTTGTAATGGCAGATCTAAATTAATTGTTGTGGAATGTACTATACAGGTTTGTAAACAATAATGGAGCTTCTACCTGATAGCTCACTCAAGCATTGATTGTTTTCAATTAAGAAAAAAAAAAGTATAGCTCAAGTATTCATGTCAGTGCATTTGATCCTGAAGTCACCAACAGAGCCCTGCATTGGGTACCTATATCTACACCCACCCACATATCCACCCATACCCAATGGGCATGGGTGGGTATGAGTATGCTCATGGCCTCATGGGTGGGTACTCAATATTAGAGGACAATCAATTTATATTACTAATCATCATATGCATGCAATATATTACAGTAATTCTAACTACACAGTGCGCAACACTGAACCGTGTCACGACCATGATAAATTTTAATATGTGGCTTGAAAGTTTGCAATAAGAGAAATGGCTAAAAACCTCAATGCCATTAATTCGTGGTAGACTGCATTCAATAAGCGTGGAAAGTGGGTGGATATGACATCCGAAAAATCACCATAGGTGGGTGTGGGTGGGCAAAGCCCGCCAGCACAAAGCGTGGGTATCCAATGTGTACCCAACCAAGATCCCATGTAGGGCTAATTGCCCCCCCCCCCCCCCCCCCCCCCCAACCCCCCCCCCAGCCATAATGGGGTTCAGCCCCTGTCAGGGTTGTATGCCATTAAAATTATTATTTATGAATTCAAAAACCTTATCCACTATTATCACTTAGCAAGTCTTCAATAGAATCATCATCATACTAAATTGTTTTCCCTCTCCTATCATCCTTAGTTATGTCAACATCCTTCCAATCTTCATCCTCATTTTCATTCCAAACAATCTTTTGCTTACCGAAATAATACAAATGCTAATTAAAATTTAAAATAAAGACTCTTAATGGTTACAATTTCAAGTACACAAATTTTTATAGTAACTTTTTTATAATTAATTATTTTCTTATTGACTTGTGTTGGTCCTACTTCTCGCTCTTGTAATTTTGATGATGTAACCTCATTATTATTTATTATAAATCATTCATCATCTAACAACACATCATTACAAACTAATGAATGGATCTTCATCATCCTTAAAAACAGATCTTTTTCAAGTGTTTATCTTTTAATATCTTATTATACATAATATAAACCAATGAATTCATCCTTAAAGTAGTCAAATGATTTCTCCTCTTATTATGAGATGGTTATATGTACTCTAATTTCACTCAAACCCAAATAACAAGCATATAAGACCCAATACTTTGCTTGCAAATCTTTGCAATTTTAGATTACCATCTCCAAATTGGGTCCGGCACTCAACTAATTTTATATAAACACTACGGGAAAACACGCAATTACCGTCGGACGTTCCGGCGGATTTTTTGTCGTCGGAAAGTATGGCGTTCGTACCGGCGCATTTTGCGACTGAAAAACAACGGCGTTATTTCTGGCGGAACGGTTGTCGATAGTTTTCCGACACCCAATACGCCGGGGTTAACGTCGGAAAATACAAGCATTTCATTCTGAGCGGTAGATTTTACGGCGGAAATATCCCAGCGCATTTACCGGCGGATAAGATGACGGTCATTTTAAACTCAACTACTTGTAACCGGCGCAAAAGATGCCGGAAAAAGTTCCGACGTACAAGACGCTGGAAATTTCGCCGGTAAAAGCCCTATTTTTGAACCCGAGCCCGTTTGGCTGCTCATTTGCTTCCTCCATTTCTCACATCTCCGCTCTTCTCTCGTCGCCCCAGTGTCCCAAACCGTTCTGCCGACAAAAGACTTTTTCCGACGCGTCCCAAACCGGCGTATGAAATTCCGACGGAAATGCGTCGGAATCCGAGGCTTTCCGTCGTATTTTATGTAGTACCGACGGACAAATCCGCCGGTAATATCGGATTTTCCTGTAGTGAAAAACACAAGATAATATATAAAATTTGTGAAACTTAACTAATCTTAAAAATTATTTGGGGAAACTAATCTTAAAAATTATTTGGGGAAAATTTTGCTATTATATATTTTGCTTGTTGTTGTTCAAATAAGCATTTCTTATTTTAAATATAAAATGGTACAACCAAACTTGATCTCTAAATTGAGTGACTTATTCTCAGCATATTGAATTTGAAAATTTAGATAATAGCATGGAGCATGCAAATGCCAATGCAACTAAAGCTACCATTTTTTAGATATGATTTCCCAAATTTCCTTTGGGTTGGAATCATCTCCTTATAGATTATGTGTTATCAACTATTTTACCTCACCAATTGCATTATAAAGGAAACCCATATCAAATTTTGTCTTCACGTCAATCATGCTTAAAACATGAACTAAGGGCTAAGTTAGTATAATAGCATAAATCACACAACTAAAATTTATCACTCTAAACAATCTTCCTAACTTTTTTAGCTTCATGTTTCTTCGTCCAAACACAATATAACCATTATGTCAAGATATAATATAACCTCCAACAATATCTTTGCTTCTAATATGTTTTGTAGAATCAATTATGCCACAACTAATTGTGGGCTCCAAAAATTTGTGGTTCGGCCTCTCTGCATCTCTCTTGCTAACGATGAGAGTTTTAATGAATTTAGATTCAATGGTAGGTTTTCATAAGACATATTAAGTTTTAGATAAAACACTACCCAGAGATTTCGCCCTCATTTTACAACGACTTTATGATATGAGTTCTGATTTCCTATAGATGTAAGATTCTATGGTTAATTACCCCTCCCAATAACGAGAGAGAACTTTTGATTAAGGTTAGTCGTTAAATAAGTTGCATTAACTACCTAATGTATAATATCAACAAATTTTTATTTGAATTTGGTTTTGAATTTTGGAGTTTATAACTTGAAAACTATCACTGTATTCTCAAAGCAGGCAATGTGGGAATGATTGCAGGCCCGATTAAGATTCCATGGTTCCATCGTCCTGGGCTATCATTATCTCTAATCTACTTAGTCAGGGTAGGTAGTCGACTCAGCATGACGAAAGAATCGTTGTCAGTAACCATGGGTTGTATCGTCTAAGAGCACCTTGTAGACCTGAGACGGATGTTCCTCTAAGGGGTTGAATTTAAATCAACCTTAACTAATAGTGGGCTTTCTATCTTATAGAATGCTCCTTATAATTTATTACTCAATTAGGGTTGTTAACCATACAGGAACATATGGGCTTTGGCCAATATCATAATATAGTGGTGCCATTTTGGGCAATATCACCCATTCAGAGGACACGTGTCATGTCCCTGCTAGCGAGAAATTAATTGAGAATGAATTGTAGTAATACATTCCTCAAGGCATGATCTCTTTTGTGAGCTAAAGTTATTCTTCAATTTATCATCCTCGCCAAAATAGTACGAAGTGTGAATGAATTTTGCATTTTAAGTTTTTGGTGACATACTTCAATTTAAGGATTTTGACTTTTGGTAGGGTTTGAATTTAGGTTTTGAATGAATGATTTTAAAGTTTTGAGGGTGTTTTTAAAACTAAATAGCTCTTTCCAAATAAAATTTCCTATCAACATGGCTTTCATCAAAATGTTTGAGCATTTTTAGCAAATGCACAATGCATTCTCAGATCTAGCATTCAAGGGCTTGACTATAAATGCTTGACTTAATGATCGGAGCACATGCAGAGTCCCATTCCATTCACATATAAACTATTAACAATATTTTTCCATTGCTTATAATCTTCTTGGAAGTCCTCAAGGGCAGCCTTTCCATAAAGCCCAACTTGTGTCTTAGCCAATGAGTTATCTTCAACCTTTATAACCAATCATCATATCAATGTACACCACATACAACAGGATTACTAGGCAGTTTTTCAATACTTTCTTGATGGTGAATATTTCATACTATATTTGG